CTTAGTTCGAGAGAGTCACCTCTTCTGGGAAGCCACTCTAGGTCATTTCCTCCTGGGGGCCCTGAGCTCTACCCTGTATGCTTTTTTATTTTTATGCCCATTCCTTTTTAGGATACTTCTTGGTTTTCACGTCTGGTTCCCCTTTTAGATTGTAAGCCTCTTGAAGTCTGAATGTTTCCTGGTTGGCATTGACCTCCAGCACTGGTCACCGTGCCCAAAACAGGGTTTCTACCTATGCTGGTATCACCCGGGGCACAGTTAGGGCAAGCGTCAGGTGCTGCTAATGCACCCTCAAGTTCAGGAACACTGCAGCTCCCCATCGCACAACTTCACGGCACACCGTCCACAAAGATCACGCTCTGAACAGCGCCCCCTGTAGTTGTGCAACACGGCGGCCTCCTGGAGGACCAGGTCCTACTATTTCATGTCTATGGCTTCAATATCCTGTACATCATAGATCCTAGATAATGTCTTCTGTATGAAAAAAAGATTTGAGATTTGGGGGAAAGGAGATGAAGGAAAGGAAATACGTTTTCTTGTGTAATGTAAATAACGAACTTGCTTTCTGGTGTCTCTTTTTTTAAGTCTAGGTTTTCAGCCTATTTTTAAAGCTGGGCCTGATGATCCTGTGAACTGTGGCAGTCACGGCGTTCATGACGACTGCATTCGAAGCCCTGGCTTCTTTTCAGAAGGGAGGGGGCTCCAATTCTCTCTGCAAAGACTCAGCCTTCCAGGCCACTGCTGTTGCTTAAGGCCCTGCTGCAATCAGAGCGCACAGCAGTGGGAAGTCCAGAGTTCTCACCGCTTCTGGGAACAGCCCCCCACCCCCTCCCCGCACCAGCTTCCACAGGCAGTCCTCATGACAGTGGGTCAGGCTCACCCAAGGATTTCACAAATGCCTGGCCTGTTCCCAGCACAGCACAGCTGGGAGGGCTCAGCTCTGGAGTGGGGAAGGAGCACCGACCTCCTCCCTGGGCCCCCCCTGTCCCCCACCCCCGTCCCCGGGAGACGGAAGGCCTGCACTTGTCCATGCTTGCCCCAGCGCGGGTGGCGAACCTGGCCTCCCCTCCCTGCTGATTTCCCAGCTTGGCTTAGTCAAGGTTCAAGGAGGAAATTCACTGTCCCAAGAAGAGAGGGAAACCCAGGCTTGTCTCCCCAAAGGCAGCAGTGGTCTCAGTCAATACCCCGGGGAGCTATTAGGTATTGAGATTCAGGGACTCCAGACTTGATTCAGAAGGGCCGAGGTTGGAATCCAGGCTTCAGCATTTCAGCCGCTCCCTGGGGGGCTGCCAGGTGGTCCTGCACTTGCAGTAGCCTTGGGGAGAGGCGGTTCCTGGCCACGAAGGGAGTTCACAGTCCAAAGAGCCCCGGATTCTCAGGGCCTCCAGCTCCCTCTCTGTAACTAGCTCCACGACCCTGGAAGAACCGCCTTGTATTTCAGGCCTCATTCCCTCCATCTCTAAAATGGACGTGTTCTGGCCTGAGGTTAGGATGATCCACTGTCCTGATCTGATGGACCCTCAGGTCCAAATTGGGACAATATTGGGCAAACCGGGACAAGCCCATCACCCTGCCTGAGACAAAATCGTGGACGTGCGATGTACTGAAAATAAGACTCGAAGATGCATCTTTGCGGCACAAATAGCAGTCCCTATTTATTTATTTATATATTTACTAGTACTTTATTGTCTGTCACTCCCACTAAATCTCAGGAGAGCAGGGCGAGCAGGGCCTCGTCTTGTTCCACAGTCAATCCCCGGGCACACGGGATGTGTTCAATAGATATTTGCTGAGTGAACAAACAAATGAGTGAATGAGGGACTGAAAGGCAGGGGGCTGCAGGACTCCAAGGACAGGATCACTGGACAGAGAGTGTGTGGAGGGTGGAGGGGTGGGGGTAGGGAGGACTCTGCTGGCCTGGAGGACGATGTAGGCTCCTCTGGGACAAGAAAACTTGAGCCACTCCTGCCCTGGAAGGGGTCGGTACTTTCTGAGCAGCCTCCCCTTGGAGGGGGTCAGTGACCCCCCAGTGACGAAGGACTCCCTCCCCCCTAGGAGCCCCGGGCGCGCTGGTCCACCCTCTCTCCTCCCTCTCCCGCCCCCCACCCCAGGGAGGTGCGCCTGGCAGCCTCCCGGCCGAATTTCCTGGCACTCGCCTGAGAATAAACAGCACTCTGCGCCTGTAATCCCGTTGCCGTGGCGACCGCGCTTTGCGGGCGGCCTGGGGAGGAGCGGGGGCGGGACGGGGCGTGGCCTACCCGACGCGCATGCTCCGTTGGGCGGCGGCGGCGGCGGCGGCGGCGCGGGCCCGCGGAGTGCCACCGCCCGGGCTCCACGCGGACATTCTTCGCATAGCTCTGCCAGGGCTCCCGCGGTGTCGGGAAGTGACTCCTCCTG